TCGTCTCCGGTAAAGACAAGGGCTGTTCTTGGCCGCCGCCAAGCTCGTGTTCTGCATCCCCCCACCAGCCATGCCTCCCCCCTCCCTGATCTTGCCGTTGCTCTCCGAATGTCAGCTGGAGCAGGGAGCCTATTGCGGGAGCACAGGAGGAATTATGAACACTGGTCATTACGGAGAAGGTTTCTCGTACGACACGGGTACATTGATCGTCGTTTCGTTGACTCCTCTGGCGCTCGTTTGGAAAGTCGAGATGGAAAACGAGGAGGAGCCCGTCGGAAGACGATGTAATGTTGCTCTCGTAATCCACGTTCTCGCTGACGAGACGGAGGAGTGCGGCCGGAGGATCGAGAGGACGATTGAGGGAGCGAGAATGAGTGCCACTCGTGGGTCTTCCCGATAGAAAAGACTCTGTCGGGAATCACGTCCTCCTTGCCTGGCCGTACCGACACTGGGAATCGACCGCTCTGTCTGTCCGTCGGACGATCGGCTGCACCTCGTCTTCTCTTTTTACTCTGCCGCTCCGATGTCGTCCCCATTCGGTAACATGACTTGCATACGAGAGGTTTCTCAGCGAGTCCGTCAGCTACAGTTCGACTGGAGCAAAAGAAGAGGATGGCTGAGGTCGATCACGAGGGAAACGTACCACAAGAGCGCTCGAAAATCCTCTCTGAGACACTGAACCGAAGAAATCTCGAAGTGCTCGGAGTCTGAGCCCCCGGTTGCTCGGTGGCCTCGCCAATAATTGTCGGCCAAGGAAGTGAGAACTCGAGTTCGGGATCCAATTTACCCTCAAGCTAACGGGGAATCGCTGCAGGATTCCACGTTCGCCTGTGTTGTTTACGGCAGGATTCGGATGTTCCCAGAGCAATTAGCGGGTCTCGCTCCTTTGTGCGTTGGCGTCGGATAAATCCTAATCCATAATCCTGGAGCTCAACGCGAAACGAGGAATATACTCCCTGCAGACTTTCTCTTGTCCTCTACCGGACCTGTGGGGAGATGTTTGCATTGGAAAGCTGTGTCTGCCCGCGTGCCTGCTCGCCTGTCGGATTCACGACCCTGACAACGGAATCCTGTCCGTCAACGAGCGAATAAAGAGGCACGAAACAAACCGGGCTGCTCCCCGGGAGAGCGGGCGAACGGATCCAGACGGCCGGCCAGCCTTAACAAACTCTCGCACGAAAAGTGTTTAGAACATCATAAAACTTCCTCACAACAATCAGCCGTATTTGTTTTATTCCTCTGTTTGATTCTCCTACCTAGCTGCTTGTCTCAACTTGATCTCGGGGAGTCCCAGGCTCCTTCGTTCGATGAAAGAGTTGTTGACGAGCTCACGATGATCCAAAGATTCGAGCTCCGGAAGACGCTCACATATGACTCACGAGTCACGAGGTGCTAAGAGGCACCGATTTCGACTGAGAACCTCCATCGGAGACCTCTCGCGCCTTTTGAGACCTCGTCAGTCGGGGTTCCCATGGAAGGTCGAGAGGAAACATCCGTCCTCAAGCACATTGTTGTTCTCTCCGTACGGTTACGTCCGCCGATCCTTTATTCGGAGTTTGGAGCTAATTATTGTCTCAACGGGAAGAGCTATCACCCTATGTGGATGAGAGAGGCGCTCTTCTGATGTTTGTCACGCACCCCAGTGCGTCGAGATCGGCTTCGAGACTTGAGGGGCCGATCTCGTCCGAAAACTTGCAGCGAGTACCCATTGGTCGAGGGCTGGCATCGGTGGATTCAGCAAGTTCGAGCCTCAAAGCCGCTCACGCGGTTCTAGTCCGTACGTCCCTTTATTCTGGGACCCCCGCCGCAGACTAACGGAATTCCTCAGCGCATTTCGGAATGGCAAAGCTGCCCTACCTTGCGTCGAGCGGCGAGAGGGAGGCCCCCAAAAATAATGATGATAAGTTTCTTTTTTGTTTCGAGAAACAACGTGAGCTTTAATAGCTCAATTCCGCCGACGACAATCCCACCGACTGCTCGCCGGTGAAAAGCGGGAGAAAGCGCTCGACGCTTCCTGACGCAGAAGACACGAAGCCAGCGGCGAGCTCATTCGAGAGAAACGAGCGGAAGCGATAAACAAAGAGAGAATAGTTGAGATGCAAGCAATCTTCCTTTTTTGGTTGAGCTCAAGACGGAGCGGGGTTGGGGAGGTTCAAAACCCCCTCGTCCTCGCCACGTGCTTACCTCCTTCTTATTTAGTTGCTCCATTCCCCAGAAGCGCTCCTGCGTTTTTTTGCTGCGGCCGCGTGCGCGTCTTGCCGCCGCGCTGATTCTCTCTCGGTTTTCCCCTGGGGGATAAGCATCGGCGGTAGGAACAGCGGTTTTTGCGAGGTTCCCTCCAGGCCTCCATTTATGGATGAGAAAACGGGAACAGCACGGCTAGCTCGCTCGCTCATTTCTTCCACTTGTCTCTCCCCCGTGCGCATAAGTCTGATCCCTGGGCCGGGACGATGAAGCGGAAATTCGACACTAATCTCGGAAATCTTTGAATCCGCGGGGAAAAATCCTCTCCGCGATCCCTTCATACGTAAAATACTCCGTACCGATCATCCGACATATAACTCCATTCAGAATTCGTCTCTAGCTCCAGGACTTCCTCGATGATAAATTGGACGATGTGAATATCACGAGAGCCGCTCAACCCGCTTGTGATGTCTCCGAGCGAATTCTCTTCCGTACTCTCGTCGAAAGATCAGACCTCCTACGCTCTCCTGTCGCTAAGTGTCGCTTGTCGGGAGCTCGAGAATCGATGATGTCAGAATAATCATCGCCGTTTCCGCGACAATCGTTAGCGTAATTGACATGATCGAACGTGAATTGTTCTCTAAGATAACTATTGTTCTCGGAACGGCGGCTTGAACTTCCTACCTAATCACCTATTCCGAATTACACAAATTGATTGCTCTCCCGACAAATTACAAGGTCTCCGTGGACCTCGGCAGACGACGACAGTTTCTCAAGGTCGCCGTCCTCAGAGCATCCATCAGCGCGAAGATTCGCAACCGGAGGCCCTTAATTCGCGTAGGCCTCAATCGCAAACGGATATGCAGCGTGCAGTGAGAACTGTCCGTCATCTGAGTCTGACGAGCAGGATACGTCGATCGAGTTGATTCCTCACCCAAATGATTCCTCCCTCGACGCCATCTTGCTCGCATTCTGTGAGGGAAGAAGGCCGTGGCTGTCGATCACGAAAAATATCCTCCCTTCTATCACTGCTCCGCTCTTTTGAAGGGGAGCGTTCCTCGGAACCGTATAAGGATCATTCGTTTCCGATTGACTTTTCCGGAGCTTTATAATTTGTCTAGGTGGACGTCGCTGCTCTATTCCACCGGAAGACCAGCGACGAGGCTTATCGGGAGAATGATGCCAACGAGGAGGACAATAATTGTCCATTCTAGAGCTCTGCATCGGAGGGCTCCTACTAGATTTAGAGCCATCCAGCTGGCCCCTTCTTGGGTCTTCTTTTATGTATTTAGCTTCTTGCTCCGTCCTCGTTGTCTCCAAGTAATGTCCACCAAGTTTCGGTCGTCAGCTGCCTGTGTATTAGTTTTACAAAGTTTCTGAACGTTCACGCACAACATGCGGGAGCGCCTGAGTCGAGCTGAAAGGAGTTCGTCCGGTGTTAGAGCCTCGAGCTCTGTCCGCTTCCGGACACATTCTGATGAAATGAACTTTTCGCTTAATTTATTCAGACCCAATTCATTACATCGACTAGAACGGAATCGAGACCGGGACAAATTGATCTTCGGGCTTATTGAAGTCCAGCGTATTCCAAGGGAATGAACGAAGGGTGTGGCGCACAGCCCGCTCGGGAACAGGCGGGAATTCAGAGAATGAGGCTCCCCGTGGAAGAATATCGAAGTAATAATTATTTTTATCGGAGATGGTTTTTAGGAGAATTCGACAGTCCGGGGGGCTTTTCGTCGCAGGAAACCTCAAAGTAGATGGTGATTCGTATAGAATCAACCGAGTCCAAGCTCAACGGTTCTTTCCGAGGTTCATTTTAGATGAATCGCCGGAGACTCGTTCCTTCGGCTCTGAGGGAAACAAGCAAAGACAAGCGACTTGGAACACCTGTAGCCAGAGAACGAATTCGATTCTCTTCCATGGCGGTCCGATACGGGAAACTCTCTCTGATGACTCTATGATTCGAATGCATAAACAACGCGGCTGTTTCGGTCTGAGGGAGAATCCCGTTTTGCATTCCGGAATGCTTTTCATGTGACCCCGCTGATAGGTACATGGAGGAGACGAGTTTCAAGGGAAAAAAGGAGAAGCTCCTTAGGGTTCTCTGTCGAAGTCTGCAGACTGTACGACCCTGACGGAGTTCCAGCTTCGGCCTCGGCGCGGGGAAATTCCCGATCGGCAACATTATTTCTCCAGCCGGGTGCCCTCGGACATTAACGGGGACATGAGTTAAATATTGAATCAGATGGCGAATTAATAAAAACATGGTCGCACCGGGGGCAATCTTTCCGAGCAAGCAATCGCTGCGATGCGAACATCGAAGCTCACATTCTACAATACACGATGCGCGATAGAGAAAACAAGTGATTTCGTGTTGCGAAACATTAACACAAGAAGACGCGCCGAACATATTATCAGCGTTATTTGAGGAATTCGACGTATTTGGAAGCTACATCAAAAACTCACAAGCGTCATATCGACGGAAAAGTTTCCATCGTCGTCAGTCGTTTTTGGAAATGAGGCAACAGCAATGCTTTGTGATGCGACGATTCGGCTCGAAGTGTTGGGGGCAGAGCCATCCGCGGCGAACACATGAAGTTTTTTAGGGTTCATTCGAGGCAGACTTCTATGGTCGGACACTCTTTTCACGAAGTTGCTGGCGGCGACAAAAATCTTGAACGAACTTTCCCTTAATGATGCGAACTTGTCAATATCTCGACGCCGCCGCCAATAGCAGCGGCCGGCGGACTCTTGTCGGATCGGTGCCGGCAGTAAACCTCAATTTAACATTTTTGTTCTCCTCTCATTTTCAGGCGGTGCTTCGCAACGCGTCGCTGGAATTGTTCAAAAATCGCGGTATCTACATCGGTGAAGTTCACGTGATCATCCCAAGGTCATGGGGCAACAAAGGCCAATGGGCACGCCAGCCCCTGCCGAAAATCGAGGCACCGACGTGGCAAACCCACCGTGACGCCGATATTCTGATCGAACGCGGCGAAGAATCCGTTTTCGGTGAGAACCCTTTCGTGGTCCAACATGGAGGTTGTGGAGTCCAGGGTCGACACATGGTCATACCGGACACTTTTCTACGTAATTACGTCAGCGAGCAGCATTACGAAAAATACGGGAAGCCGCGTAAGTACATTCCAAGATTTCGCACGATAAAACGAAGAATCCAAAGCGCTGTCGAGTTCCCCAATCCAAAAATGAGCATTGCTTGACGGGAGCCGAAAGTTTCCACGATGAAATCCGAATTCCGGAAAAATCGACTCCAAACTTCAAGGAGATTATTTACCCATCTATCAGGAATTTGAATAAATAATTGAGCTGGCGGAACGGATTCGACTAGCTCAGACTCAATTTGAGCGGATGGGCGACGCTGAGAACGGCACCTTCTGTTCACAGATCACGTGTTCATGCGCGAGTGGGCAGTCTATCGTTACGGGGTATTCAAAGAGCACGGTTTCCCGCGGGACCCTGTGTACCCGCTGTATCGAGCAAAGCCCGGAAGCCTCGATGGAAGTGATATCGAGCTGAACGTCTGCACGGAGCGACCAGTCTGGCCCCAGTTCAGGTAAGAACTTGACGATAGTTAGCGAGCATCTGGTAGGCTGAGAGGAATGTTTTTCCCTTGGACGAGCAGTGATTTCTCCACGGAAAAAAATCTGGAAACAGCTGCATTCCCCGAGTTCTCCGGAACGCGTGGAATAATTCAAGAACTTGTCGTCGTCGATGGTTGACACATCACAACGACTCTGGCTTCGACGCTGGCGCTGGAATTGTCGCCGCTCGTAGCCGCGGTGTTGAAAGCGAATCTGTCAATTGGGATTATGAGTGATGGTGATCGAAGTTCTGGTTGACGTTCTAATAATAGTTGGCGGCTCGTATTTTTTTCTGGCATGTCAATCTGTACGTGAGCTTGTAAACGAGTGCGTGAGTTTGTGCGCGTCTTTGTGCTTGAATGTGCTCTCATTCGTGAGTGATTCGGTGTGAAAAGTCTCCTCCATCGTCGTGGTCGACGTCTTTCGACGAAAGATCGCTTTTCTACTTTCCTCCTCGACTGGTCCCTGTTATGTTGTGGTCGTTGTTATGATAAATCGTGGAACAGCATATCCTGGAGCTAGCACTGCGAAGGTGTGAGGCGCTCCCTGGCTTGCAGGACCAAGCGATTGACCGAAAGACAGCCAAGCAATCAGAGACGATTCGCACGTGTGAACAAGAGGCTTGTCCATCAAATTCGATCGTCTCCTCTACGCATAGACAATGAATGCCACGTATTGCCGATGGGTCTGTCAGGCAACGAGTCCCGTCAGACAGTCAGCAGACTTCTTAAGCGGTTCGAGCCAGCACTCAGCCATCCGATCATGCACGCAGCGTCCCAGCAAGCTCGACAACGAATCTCTTTGGATCTGGAGTTCGGACTCGGGCTCCAGGGGGCGACGAGACCTATGAAAATGAGCTGGAACTTTCTTAAAAACGAGTAATCATGATCCCTTGCACGAAATTCGGTGATCAAACAGCCTTTCGTTTGTTTGCTTTAGCATAGATGTTGATTTTCCCCCTCGCGCTCCGACAGTTTTTCGCGACCATTTCTGGTGGACGCTGTTGAGTTCATTTGATGAATGACGGAGAGCTCTCGGTCGTCCGATGTGGAGGGAGAGGAAGGAGCGTGAATGGGAACCGGTTCATCGCGACTGCCGTCTTCGCATGGATTGAATGAATAACACTGTCAATCCCACCGCGATCCTTAATTTAGATACGCTTCTTTTCTGATCAAAATCGTATGCAGTCCGAGCGAGGAAGGATTGGAGATGCAGCCAGCGACGTCGAAGCAGTCGGGGGAAGGCGGGACGAGGCGTGCTGGCGACGCGATAATTGCAGTGTCGTTGGATCTCTTCCACAATTATTAGTCAATAGAATTACCTCGTCGCGCCGCCGCCGGGTGCTTTCATCGTCTTTCTGTCGGTCGGCGGATTCGCTGATCGGTCGCTCGATCGTCGAGAAGCGTCAGTCAAGCCACCACCTTCAGCTCGTTGGGATTCTCTGATGATGTCGCGATGACTCGACGATGTCACCGTATCGTGTCGCAGCGCCGCAACGCTCCGATTCAGCCCGCGGTGAAGACGATGCTGATGTTGATTGCGGGCTCGTTGATTGGTCGCCAGACTGCTTGAGTTGCCCTATTGATCACTGAGAACGAATGGGATAATTTGCTTCGCCTCGCGCCCGCTCCGGTCCGACCCATCGCTAAAGTGACACTCACGCCCATTTAGCTCAATTCCATTGAAATATATCTTCCCAAGAAAATAGAACGGAGAAGAGAGACGACGGAGCGATTAATTCACATTAATCCGCGAGACTGATCTCGGTGTCGGCGACTTCCGGCCACGGTCTCCGATTCGGTGACCTCAGCATTGCCACGATGGGGAGAACTGGTATGGACTTCCCAAACGCCTTTAGATTCACCAATTTATAATTCCCGCTCGCGGTTCCTCTTGATTCCATTTGGGAAGTTTTCACCCAAAAAATTGCTCTCAACGCTTCGGGTGAGACAAGTCCCTCTGTTGACTCCCGTCGATTATGAGAGTTTTGTTCAAATACAGCCGGAGCAGAAGGTTTAATATAAGGAATAAAGAATAGAGAGCACACAGTGTAGTATTGTTTGTGCTCGATCCGCTAGCATAGCCAGATGTGGTCTAGCCAGAATTCACCATAAATCTTCCCTCCTGCTGAGGAAAACTGTTTTCTACAAACAAGCCCATCAACGCGAGTTTACCCTCCGCTCTCCATGCACGCCTGCACCCCGTGACTGGACTGTTGGGTCTTCTTGATCCTTCACAAAGTATTAAGGCAGAACAACATCCAGAGCCCGGAGCAGCGGATCTCCTCGAGCAACAACAGCGCCGTCTAATTGTAGTGCGCTTTCATTTTTCCCTCACGCATTTTCTTTCCAATGCGTTCCCACACAAGCGAGCAGAGAGGACCAGCTGTCTTGTCGGCGACTTTCCCTCATTTAATTCCTTGTGTCTTCATTCATTTTCGTTCTCTGTGACGCATGGAAGTCAAAGTCGGCACGGATCCCCTCCGACGTCTACTCGGCAGCTTGGACATCGCCCCCCCCCGCCCCCCTCCCTTCGGGCGGTGTACATAATATGAATTGATCCATCGCAATTCTCAATTGGCAATTCTTGCAAGTCAAGGTTGAAGATAGGTCAGTTGTCGCGCGATTGATTCTAGGACTTATTCTGCCTCGGAGTAGAATCGATAGGGTGCCTAATGGACCTGAGTTCCGCTAAGTCAAGCGCACGGCGATGAGGGCGGTTTCGAGCACTTGGCAATCTCGTCGATCTCGCGGAGTGGACGTATGTAGGTTTTCCGCTGTAGTGAATATTTGTTTCCATGGTGCCCTGGCGTGGGGAATCGGGAAGAGTACTCCAGGAATGGCCTGTTTCCAAGCGCATTCGGGGGCGAATTGAATCATTTGAGATGATATGTTGGAAGGCGGCAGATTCGCGCCTCCCTCGGCCGGTCCGGGATCACGGCTGGGCGATGAATCCCAAACGACGAGTCCGAAACCGGACACATGCTCATTGTTTCGGGGCCGTCTCGTCCCTCTAACCACCCCTGACGTTTCCCGTCGATCATTTGTTCATATTTTTGGTCTAGATCTTGGGGGCATGAATTACCGCCGTGAGCCTTAAGTGATCAAACAACGTTGAGCTCGAAGATGTACTCCGTTCCTTGGTGGGCTTCAAACGTTGGCTCCGTGCTAGGCCTTCTTCCGCCCGTCGGCAGACGCATCATCATGAACTCGAAATCGGTCTGTTGGCTTCGAGGAACCATTCTGAGCGATGTCTCCCCATTCGCTCAAGCAAATAGTTCGCCGTACGAAGAGGAGATACAGACTCCCCGGATCGTGCGACTAACTAATCGATCAACGAATCAACTGACCGCGAAACAAATAAACTCGACACGGATGCCGGCGGCGACTTTGATTGGCAGAATCAGATACAAAACCCCACAATGCGGAGTGAATCCAGACAGATCTGCGTCTGCCTGAATGAATTGATCGCTGAATTATTCAATGACTGTCTGGAAACGGGATGAATAGAGATAGGCAGATGGGAAGATGGTCCTCCTTCTCGGCGGACCGGCCGAGCAGACGAGTGACCGACCATTCAAGTAGAAGGAGCGCCATCGAGATCCACGCGTGAGAACCGTCTCAAGGATGTTTATCTCTTGAATGCTCCGATTATTCATTGGGAACCATTACGCGAAATTAATATGAGAGATCAAGAAGAGAAGGCGACTGAAGGAAACAGAGCCACCCACTCGCGCCTCCTCGAGTCGTATCACCGGGCGAAGAATCTCTCGGCACATGGCGTCCACGGAGAGTCCTCGATATCTTTAACCTTACCAGCACAGCTCCGTTGCGCCCACTCGGTTCTGATGACGACAGTGCGAGTTTCTCGATGCGCGGGATTTCTCCGAAATCATGAGGACTGCCAAACTCCGAGTCCTGTTCGAATAACAGCTCCCCGAAGAATCGTGTCTCCTCCTTTTAACACGTTCATATGTGAATTCGGAACGAAAATCAGAAATTTCGGAAATCGCCGTTGGGGCAGAGAAATGGGGCGAGAATGATCGATCAGACGCTTCGCAGAGTGAATGCCTCAATCAACGAAAAAACTCACTGATTTGCCCTCCGACGAGAGAGTTCTCTCGCATTTTTCTCCCCAGTTCTCTGTTCGCTCTGCGCTGCTATTCCCGAGCGATTTCCCCGTGTCTTCTTCATCCGTGGTCAGCTCACATAAATTTGTTTTGTTGGTGATGAGCTAGCGTTTATTAAGATGTCATCCATCTCCAACGATTGACGTACGGCAAAATGCGACATCGACTGAAGATTGTTGCCGTGGGCTCCAGCGACGACCGCGACGATGAAAATGAACCAAGAGATCGATGACGAACGAGGCACCACCAAAAATTATTAACTACTGCCTACGTATATCTCTCCTGTCACTATGTACTACTATTGCCGCTTTCGGCTCTTTTCAGAAACGGAAACGGTGTCGCCTGCAATGCGACCATCAACCTTATGAACGGTCTGCCGATGGATCAGGACTGCATCCCCGTCTACTCGATCCACGACAAGGTAGAATCGTCGATCATGAGCGGAATACCGTCAGCAACTCATTTCTGCGGAGGACACCATCACCACGACCGGACTTTGCCCACCAAACAAAATGTCATGTGCAACGAACGCTCATCCACCGAAATTATTGAGCAACACGAGGATTTCTACCGGCGAGCTCGCAAGTGAGTCTATGATCTGATCATTATTTTTCTTCAGACTTCGGGATCATAAATTCGATTCAGATATTCTTTCTGAAAATCGTCATTCCGATGAGAAATACCTGGATGATGGTCGCGCAGAAAAAAAGAGGATCGGATTTCGATCTGGCGCAGCGTCCTAATCGGAGCTTCTATTTTCCCCAGTGGTTTGCAAGGAAGGACGCGGTTCATCTTTGTGCAGGAGAAAGCCCAAGTCATGACCGTACTCATCCAAATTTCAGAAGCAACACTGCAACACGTAAGTAGTCGGTCGAACAGAGCCGCGGCCTCCACGTGGCTCCGGTCAGGATCCGAAATCAAATGTCGTCGATCAATGAATGGCCACTGCAACCGATTATCGTATTGCTCATTTTTTTCGATGTCGTATCCGTTCCGCCGCTCTCGAAAGCAGCGTCAATCACGCTCTGCATCAGATCGAAAAAATATCGGCAAAATACTCAGTTCCTCGATTTCTGATCTCCTGATGCTATTTTCGGATTAGGAGAGTTTGTGTACAAACCTATTATTAGAATTTTATTCCTCGAAAACGGGCGCAGTTGACAAAAAAAACAGAGTAACTCGTGTAGAATCGTATCCATTCGCTCGCAGGGCGGCCGGTTATTTTATTTCTGCTCAATCCATTAGCGATCGAATCGAACTCGTGGGCCGAGTGAGCGAGTGAGTGCGTGAGCGAGTAGCCGCGAGCACTAACCAAGGTTCCGTGCGCTTACAGCAACGTCGATATTACATCCTGCGAGCACTCGAACAGTTCATGACGTACGATGCTCCGAAGGACATGCAAATATCAATCGTCACTTACGGCGAAGCCGAGGCCGAAATAGGGCTCCGAAGAGCCCCAGCCTCCGAGGACAACGTGAAAAAAGCAGTCGCGACACTGTTATTGAACGCCGACATCGAGCCGGGACAAAACTCTTCTCTTGCCGAGGGTCTCAAGCTCGCTCTTGAGGTTTGTATGGAGCAGATATCCCGGCCCTTCCAGCAACATTGAAGATCACGGAAGTTCCGTTCAGTCGATATCCGATACGGATGTCGACGTGATGTGTTACATTCAAGAAAATCGACCGATAACAATTCTCCCGAGAAACAACCACTCGGAGAGATAGTCTCGAATCAGTCGTCGGTTCTCCGCGATTATCGTCGGTCGATCGCGAGAAAGTTCTCAAATTCTCTTCCTGAGTTCACTATCGGACGATCTTAATTGAGCAGAGCATGGTCGACACACTATTTCCCAGCATGAAAACAGCTACGCAGAGATTTGAGCATTAGCGCACGGAGAAAGTCCAGGTGGGCCGTCCCCGGACTCGAGCTAGGGTCTGCTGACCCGGTGGCCACGGGGCCCGCCGCCCGGTCCGCCCCGGACGGATAGTCATGCAGTCGGCCGACTCCGTCGTTGTCTCTCATGCCTTCCCTCTGGTCCGCTCGTTTTTTTCCTTGAATCCCTTGATGATACGATATTACTCTCTTCTTCAGGCTCTCAACGACACTTCGGAGCTTATGGAACGAATCCCCCCGAGCAGTTTTACCCAGAGGGTGGTAGTTATCGGAGATGGTCATCTCGACAAAAACCTCGAGGACATCGTCCGGCATAACTACGAGTATCAGGACATTCGAGTCGATTCGATTATTTTCCCGTCGCCTTCGAACGATCTCAAAAAACTCAACACTCTCGACAAGTTTGTTGCACGCACCGGCGGCCGCACGGTCGCTATCAACGACGTGTCCATCGACGACTCGGTGACGGTGACCGCGCTCCAGGTGTTGTACGATGCACTCTACTCGTTCGCCTACGGCAGTCTATCCGGACAGGAGGAAATGAATTACGCCGATATCGAGCTGAGAGAGTTCCACGGAAAAGAGCAGCACGACATCAACTTCGATTTCTACGTCGACCCCTCACTTAACCGGGACCTTCGAGTGAGACTTATCGGACATGATTACGGCCTTGATAAAGCGTGGACCGTTTCTTCGAGGGACTTGAAGCTCTCGGCGCCGGACGAGAACGACCGGAAGGTCTACACGACCAAGGACTACAAATTCCTTTTCACTGACGGCCGCTTCTGGTATTACGAGTTCAGGATACCGGACCCGGCGCCCGGTCATTGGAAACTCGAGGCCAAGGCACGCAAGGACACGAAGCAGCCAATTATCGTGACAGCGGCTGCTAAGCCTTCGAAAGAAGAGGAACCGATCCTGCTCGACGCATGGATCTCTCAACCGAGTTTCAACGTGAGTTCCGAGAATTAATATCTGATTCTCTCTCGGAAACACTGATGGTTTTACCTCGAGAAGGGAAAACCATCAGATCGAAATCACTGCCTTCTTTAGATGTTCCATTAGGAGCTTTTGAAATCTACGTGGTTGAGGGTCTGACAGAAAAGCGGGAAACGCGACGGCAACAATCGGGAAAAAATTGCGAGTGAGGGACACGGCCAGCTTCAGAGTGAACGACAGCGACGTAGAACGAATGGAGCCTCTCGGGAGAAAAGAATAATAAAGAAATTAGAAGGCAGAGAAGCGGCGAAACGAGGAGAGGCAGGCGCGCAAGAAAATTACGACGACGAGAGAAAAATGAGTAAAAAGGAGCGAAAAGAGTTCAGACGAAGGGCGAACAAGAAAGGGACGAAAAAAGGGATATGGCGTCAAGGGAAGCAAAATTAGAGGGTCTACGGAGCGGAGAAAGAACGCGGGTAAAAAAACGCAAGGGGAAGGGCCACTGTTCACTTTTTTCCGCCGTCTGCTCCTTTCAGACTCTTGATATTCAACAGACTACTTCATGGAAACTTTTTTCCGGAACTTTCGAAGTATCGCATCTCACTCAGCTTGAGATGCTCGCGGTTACGTCGACGCTTTTCCTAGAGCCTTCAACGTCGAATCCGGTGCGGAGAATGGCCTCTTTCCTTCCGGAGGGGTTTTCCGGGAAATGTTAGAAGACTCCGGAGTCTTCGCCGGAATCACGGATCTGAAGGGGAGAGCACAGCTCGGGAAGACTTGGGAATCGATGGAGACATGGGGTGGGAAGAATTCGGGGGTGTCAGGGAGATTGCGTGAATTTAGGGGAGCGAACGCAAAATGCCCAGGGGGCCGATTGTTGGGTGGGTGGTAGGGAAGTTGGGGAGTTGGTATGCTTGGGTGGGTGGTTGCGTATTTTGAAGCAATCCTTCCAGCGCGAGGTTCAGGCTATCTTTTTTGCACTGCAGCAGCTCTCCTAATAGAATGAAAGCCTCCTTGAGTAACGGGCGCATTGCGTCAGTGATTTATCGTCGGTTAGTTAGATGGTCGGTGGGTTGCTCGCTCGTTCAGTGGGTCGTGTGAAGCGATGCAAGCGGGATCTAAGCCAGCTTATTAATGATTTCCTTCTCGAATAATTGAAGGTGAGTCTACGCAATGAAGGTCTGATCGTGTACGCCAAGCTCAGTAAGGGCAGCAGACCTGTGGTCGACGCGAAGGTCGTCGCCAAAATAACTCCGGTCTCCGATCAGAGCGAAACTCAACTGTGCGTTGAACTCAAGGATAACGGCGCAGGAGACCCGGACATCACGAAGGACGACGGTATCTACTCGAGATATATCGAGGGCATTAAGAATATCGGTAGACACACACTCGTTGTCGAGGCCAAGAGCGACGGGAACGCTGCTCTTCTGCGCAGTGCCACCGTGCCAGGTGAGAATTCCTTCCGAACTCCGAGGACGACCCGATCGCTTGCGGACTTTTCGAGTTTTCCCAGGCGACCGTCCGGAGAGACATCGTCGCTCCTCATGCCGTTGGCTGATTTTGATTCCTTTCCCATCAGCTCCCATCATTATCAGATTTCCTGCGATTTATTCGTTCTATGACTCCATTTCCGGCGTCGAATCATGGAGGTCATTCAAGTTTCCCCCGGGAATAATCCATGGGACCCACTCACCGGAGGTATTTCATTTCAGACGATACCGTTCCCCACACTCCGTGTTGTGGTAGTGCCGTCGTGCGGACAGCCTCCAACGCTACGAAGCCGTTCGCGCGTCGGATGCACTACGGCTCGTTTTTCGTGACGAAAATTTCCCGTGAGCAAAGAGACGGAGAGATTCGCGCGCCTTGGGCAGCCCCGGGTCGCGTGGCCGACCTCCGCGTAGTCTATCTGCAGTCCAATCCGTCCGGCGTGAGCCTAGCTTGGACCGCAACGGGAAATGTGAAAGATCACGGAAAAGCCAGCTCGTACGTCATAAAGAAATTCGAAAACCGCGACGACGCCGTCGCGCAATTCGACGTGCGAGGACAAGAGATCAGCCATTGGGAAATGGAAGGAAGTCCTCCGATACCAAAGGAGGCCGGCGCCATGGAGCAAGTCTTCATCAAAACCATGAATCAGGTGCCGGTGTATTTTGCTATTAAGGTGAACAACAGCTACGGGACGCTGTCTGCCGTCTCGAACATCGTTGTGGTCAGCGTCATGCCACCGGCCACAACGACGAGCAGCAGTAGCAGCAGCTCCACGCTGTGGAATCAAGGCCAAAGAACCACTCAGGGAGGAGGTGGAGGAGGAGGTGGCGGCAATGGGGGAGGAGGAGACTACTCGAACGAGGAGGGCTCGACCGACGAGAGAGAAGCGCGAATTCAGCCGGGTCAGTTCGCTCTTATCATCACTATTCCACTTGTTGTGTTGGTTTTGGGAGTCTGCGTTCTGATTGTAATTGTCGCTCGTCGAAGAAGGGATCCCTTGGAGAAGAAACCTTCATCCGATAACAACAAGAACGGTGAACTCGATACCCCGAAAAGCGGCACGCTCTCCAAGGACGGGAGCACAAGGCAAGAAAGTCCTGTACTCCAAAGTCCCAAGGAAGGCATGACCCCGATGGGGGTCGAAATCGTTCACCAAACCCAACAATCAGGCCTTTCGCCGATAAACAGCTGGCCGGCCGAGGTTCTTCTGGACCACTACGGCAAAGTGCAAGAAGCGAAGCAGAGGAACGAGCTGCCACCCGTTCTGAGTTTGAATCCGCACTCTCACGACGAGTCGTTACACTCCTCGAACCCGAGTCTGTACAGCACAATGGACCCCTTCAGAAGAAACACCGGACAACCCGTAGTTTATTCCCCGTATTACGGGAATCCACCCATTGTCACACCGATGGGTGTTCATGTTTCGCGCAACATCACGCAAGTCTAGTTGGTTGAATAGTTGGTTAAGTGACGATCACCTCACCCGTACAGAATTCATACTTGATCCTGTATAGCAGCTCCTCCGGTAGGTTGGCTCGTCGGTCGGAGAGGAGTTCGCAGCAATACGACTGGTTAATTTGTCGACGGCCTCCGTTTTTTGCCGGAGAAAATATTCGAGCGGAACTGTGAAAATTCTCAGAGATTGAACCTCAGAAGGTCTTCCATGAACGTATTTATTTCTAACTCTCAGAAGCGGATCAGCCCAATGATTTGAGTTTGATTGATCCTCTGGGAAGTCAACCTCACAAGGACGCCTGTAGCGGTCCGAATGAATGAATGAATGGATCGTTTGAAAAAACACGGAGATCTCTGGGAGATTTATCGATTTGATCTTGATTGATTTTTTGAATATCTGCGTTATTTATAGCTGAGAATGCGGGACGGCTCTCTGATTCCTCGTTGAAATTCATGACAAGGATTCCGATGATCCTTCGAGGAGTAGATTGCACGTCGCGATTGCGCGTGTTTGACCAAAAAGAGACAAATCTGACTGAGTGGCTTCATGACCTTCTCGTGCGTAGACAATCCTGGGTTCGGGGTTTCGCACGAAGGTTTGCGTCAAAACCATTGAGAATGAACTCCCAGAATGATGCTCTCCGAACCGACGACCAACCGATCGAAAGCTTTCCTAAGGAGAAACTAAAACGAAAGCACCCTATTAGGTCGAGTCACATGGCAGATGAACCGAGGCATCGTCGGAGGACGCTTTCGGAGTGAAAAGCACCGAAAAGATGCCATCGTTCTGAAACCATTCAAAGATCTCTGTGATACTCTTCGCGAACTTGCTGATGTTGCTGCTCGGTTCGGATCGCTCGGCCGTACCGCGTTCCTGCACCGGATGTTGCAAGAAATTGCTTGCAAGAGTTCCGATGATCAAAAACATTATACTCGCGATGACGAGACTGCCCATGGAGTCGAGGCGAGCGATTTGAGAAGCAGAACTCGAGTGTAAAACATTCTTACCGAATGGGTCACGATTGGCGTCCTGATCGCATCCGTTTCGTAGAAGAGACGGGACTATCCGATTCAAATCCCCTGCCGAGAACACGTTGTGGAGATTCCATAGGAAAATCATGATGATCCAAAATCGCCCGATCATTACTCTGTCGCTGGGGCTCCCGCGGGACCGGTCGATGCAGGAAGTACCGAGTTTAGAGTCTAGTCTCGTCGGCGACTGGAGTTTATCAGCGGATCCGGATTTACGGCCGAACTTCTCCGAAGACGGTCGTGGCTCGTGGTGTTCTGCCTGTCGACTCAGTCGTGGTAAACGTACGAGAAGAGAGGGAGAAATAGTTCCCAGGAATCACCCTTCCCGGGGGTATCTGGAGGGCTAGTAATTAGTTGCGATAGGCAATGAGCGGCTAACGCCATGAGTAGATGACGTTACGGGGGTCGCGACGCGAAGCCAAAAACTGAGTTGATGAAACAATACTTTTTCTCACAAGCGGTCACATTTATTCACCAAAGCAGATCTCTCCTCTATCCGAATCCCTCTGTAAAGTGTTTGATAGAGTTAAGAAGTAAATCTATTCCATATCATATCCACGAGTTGACATAGACAAGAGACCACGCTGCGATGGGGCGACGACAAACTAGACCACGCATGTGGATTATCTGTAATCTAACACGTAGAAACGGTGAGAAATGATGAAGCAGAAGTAATGATCGACATGGAAGCCTACGGACTCTATCGGATGAACAAAGAGCCGCCTTAGCAAGGCTCTTATATCTCAAGGCCTGTAAACTCATTTTACATAACCGAGATGACTGGAAGAATGATTGATTATTTGATCGGAACAACGACTGATTTTAATCGGAAATCGACTTTGATAACCCAACCGATCGACACAGGAATGGAGGCCCTTCGCAATGGGAGAATTTCAGCGTTATACCAATGATGAGTCCAGAAATAAGAAAATGAAGAACGAAACTCTGTATTTGCAATCGGAACTCTCCGCGATTGTGCCGCGAGGTCCGAGATCCTACATCGGCGACGGGGAGACACACGCAAAAATTGGTATGACACGATAACGAGGGCCTAGATCGGAACGACATCGATCATTGTCTGTGTATTGATGGATGCCGATTACAATAACTATGATTTGTCAAAGTTCCTGTGAAAGCGTTCTGAACGGAATGAATATCCTGTATCATCCTGTGTAAGATACTTGTGCATATGGAAGCGGTTCGAAGACAACTGTTCAATATTGATACGAAAAGAGAAATGTGAAACAATAAAGAGAACAAACGGAGTTTATTCAACACCGAGTCCTTTTTTCTGCCGTTTCCGGGACAGACATTCCAGATACGATTCGAGCGCTGCCTCGCGGTGACCCTATACGGGATGTACTCTCGAACAGACCAGATATAACAGAAGAGCTGTCTCAGTGCATCGAACGTCACATGCAGATCCGCCCTGCCCGTGGTTAGGTATCGGTATTGAGCATCCGAAGCTGTCCGCCGGCAACCCCGGGGGTCAGCGGGAGCGGGTTACTTGGACCATGCTCTAACGGGCTCTGGCGCACGAGTTCCAAGCATCGGATAGGTAAGGCTCTCGAACCCAGCTTCTCCCTGATGGTCGTGTACTCAGCGTGAGAATCCCGGTCTCAACGTGCATAAACAGCAGATACTGCTCCGGCTACTTGTTCGATGTCTCTCTGAAGAGTGAATTGGAAACAATTATTTTTTCTCGCCGATTTCGGCCAGGCCGTCGCAGAGGAGTATTTCCAGTCTGTATCATAATCATTCATCTCCAACGTGAGAAGAAGGGAGGAGCCTCTTTTCATTTTCTGGTCAGTTTTCTCTCTTTTACTCTTTGGGGTAGGCTGGGGACCCCGACTCGGCCCCAAACAGAGATCCTCCAGCTCCGATCAAGGCTCGGACGTCATGAGCGGAGCTTTTGTGCCGTTGATAATTATTTCACTGCGACATGGAAAGCGAGGAAAAGCTCAAACTGAAGGTCTCCCGAATCTCGCGGTTTCCGGACCGAGCCTCGCACCCGATCTGCCCGAGAATCTCGTAATAGAATTCAAAACCAAGGAGCGTTAGAGGTTAAACACTCGAGGAGGAATTTCATCTGTTCTGAGGACAGCGGCGGCCACCACGGCGGTGGTCCCCCGGAGTAATTTTCTCTCCACTTCAAATCGACAAAGCGCTGCCCCAACGCAGTCGCCGCTTTTCCGTTTCTCCACTCCGGTCCTCCTGTTTTCCCTATCAACTGCGGTCGTATACCATGGCCCCCTCCCCGGAATCTGACAGAGATACCGCTCGTCCGTGATACTCTCGGGTTTTGCTCCTTTCGAGAAGAATCCAGCTGCCCTCCCACGGAACTGGACCGGACAATTATCACGGTCGTAACTTCCGGAAGGATCAGCCCTGTAATTAATCGTCAGTCAAATCTCAGCACTGACGATGAAGGGTATAATCGGACGCTATCCAATCAGTCCACGGAGCCGTGGTATCCTCGGATGCAAGAAGGAGGTTTTCTTCGCGTATTGGGATCAGCGCGCCTCCAGCAAGGGCGTCTGACTAGCACACAGAGGGAGTTGTATCAGAGAAGGGAGAATCCACGGTCAGCAATCATTTAATCAAATAATACGAGAGAGAAATCCGCAGGATTCTCTGTACGTTGCGAAATCCATGTTTACTTCTCGCCGTCACGATTTCCTTTTCCGTTGTCGTGACTGTCCTGGACCGTAGAAACTTGGTGAATCGAAGCCTGCGGTGCCGAAGCCGGTTGCTGTCAGGATCATAGCCGGAGTGAACTCTGATAGAACGCGAGGCTACGCACTCTGACGCAATGACCGATGACGTTTTCGCGAAGCTTCTCATTACGATCCGGAGCCGGATGCCATCGGCGATCGTTTCATCACCTTAGCCAACCGCAATTATTTTCACGGGCGTCCCATCGCTTGAGGATGCGCTCCGCTCCGATCAGGTCGCAAGTCGGGGTCGAAAAGCTTCTTCACTCAGATTTTTCTCCCGTTCAAGACCTCGGGAGATGAGAACTCCAAGCAGCGTGCACCCATCGATATTCTCTTATTCCTTCGAAATATGTACCGTATACTCTTCTGTGCAGAATTTGTCGAATCCGCCGATGTTCCTGGGACGTAGGCGGCTGAACTAGTTCTGACAGGCTCATGAGCTTAGCATCCCGCATACAGCGACATAATCGCGAGCGGAAGGCTGACGCGGAATCTAATCGACTGATTCGGAATTCACACGCACTACCGAAATTCTCGGAGATATGGCGCGAAATTTCGGGGTAAGAATTCGTGAAAAGACCAGCCATCCCGAGATCGGAAGCAGCCCTCGTGCGAGGCTCGCGGAGGTGAGTCCTCGACCGGGCGTCAGAATCTGAGAAAGAGACGCAGTCCTACAGTGGTCCCCGATTCCGCTCTCCAGCGAGAAGGACTTCATATAGGAATGAAACATTAGAGTCTCGAAAACATTCCTTGAACCTCGGAATCGCGCTTCGATACAGCGGGAATCGTTCTGTATCATCCAACGACGCGATCGAGCCCGAGACTTCGGATGAGCGAGCGATATAGCAAGAATTGTGAATCATTATAACTTTTTGTGTCTGTTCTCTCTCCCCGTTTGGGATGCATGTAGTTACGGTCCGCTTGCTCGTCTCCTGCCCCCCCCCTCAACCTCCTCCCACATTCCACGTAGGATACATTGCGGATCGACGGACCTATCTACGAGCCCAGACTTCATCCCTAATTGAGTCGTCGATCATCATGCCGAATGCCGTGGCCAGCCGATTCAGCAGCGATGACAATCTGGTTACGGATGCAGACGTGAGTTTGGCCAGTGATGTAAGCCTGTCTATACGCCCGTCTGCTCCCGTAGATCCACTCATTGGCTCCCCGGCGTCAGGCTTGAACTCCTCTATCCGAGCTCAAGCCGCTCGACTTCGCAAGCCGCCCTAACAATCACTTGTAA